AACTTGAAGACATTGAGTGCCTTGGCCAGAGGTACTCACAATCCCTTCTTGCAAGGAGAATCCTGACCCAGTTCTGCAGCTTTTAACTCACTAAACCATCTCTCCACTGATTCCCGTGGATGCTGAATCAAGCCTGGAAGTGACTTGAAAGAATTTCTGATGGTTAAAGGTTAAACACAAAAACCTATTTTATGACTGATTTGACCTATACATCTGTTCTCAGTGTTTTTCTCTGTTTGCTAATGACATATACAGACTTATATACAACAGAATCTTCATTTGAACGTTCATTTGAGCTGCTCATTCCCTACTTGATGAACATCAATCCTAGCCCTGGGTACTCTTCCAATCACACACTGAATCCTCACTGATGTTAATGAGAACTCTCTGCAGATGATTCTGATGCCACAGAGAACATAATTTAGTCTACCAAAGAAATCAATGATCAAGTTTCCCAAAGTACTTCTTAGCAGTATGGGAAGAGAGAATTTTTTCCTTTCTTCTCTTATTTTCTAAGAGAAGAAAAAGCACAATATACAAGCAGATTTGTTTTTTCAGTAGCACTCTTTCCACAGAAAATTTTCCCCAGAATGTTGTTAGCAACCTTTTAAGAAGCATTAACTCAAGTTAGATCTGGTAGGATGTTTTCCTTCATCTAGTTTTGCTCCAAGTGTTTGAGTTTGAAGTCTCTGAAGAGGAAAAGTTTTTCTGCATTTGCTTGTATGAGCAGCTACAACAGGTGGAAGTGAAGCTGGTGTAGAAAAACTACAGTTATTTTATCACCACCTATGGAAGAATTCTGATAAGGCTGCTAAACTTTTGGATTTAATTCTTCTTTTCCAAACAAAACTATGGCTAGACAAATCTTTAGACTATAGAACAGCCTCTTGGCACTCATCTCTTACAGGTACAACAAGGACATGGCTGGCTCCATACTCAAACACACAAAAAAGTTCCCAAATACCACTACACAAAAAGCTACAAACCCTGCAGTACTCTTCAATATTTCTGTGAACACATGTTGGGAGCACAGTCAGTTTTGGAAGCTAGGGCTCTTCACTAGGGACAGTTTGGAGGCGATGCCAAAGGGGTCCATGCTGTCCGTCTCCAGAGGCGAGGAGAAGGCCTCTGGCTCAAAGGCCTGGCTGTAATCACCATATTCACCAAAGTCTGCTGACTCCATGGGCACAGTGTTGATCATGGGCAAGAAGTGAGACAGGGGAAGGAAATCTTTCCCCTTGAACTGCTGTCTTTGTTTGGCACTGCTCAAAGACACTGATATTCCGTGTTTTTTGGATCTATACACATTGTAGCCGTCTGGGCGAATCTCCTCCTCAAAGGAGCAGTCTTCAGTGGAATACCTGAGCTGAAAAGCAAGGAATAGTGAGAATTAAAAATATGCCCACCAGGCTGGTTGTATTCAACCACAAAACAAACCTTGGGTGGGAAAAGTCCTAGTCCCTCAGTGGGGGTATCCTGGCTTTCCCAGTCCCTATTCTATTCTATTCTATTCTATTCTATTCTATTCTATTCTATTCTATTCTATTCTATTCTATTCCAGAAGCCCTGAAGTTCTTTCCATGTCCATCCCATTAAATAAGCTTTGAATCCTGGGATGTGCTTCTCCACAGCCACTACACTTATCCTGTCTGAGCACTGGGAAAAAAGTCTCAGATGCCAGAGCTGATTTAGAGATTTGCCTGTGCAAGGGCTTCAGGATCAGGTCAGTAGAAAGGCAGAGTGGCCAATCAGTAAAACAATGCTAAAAGGTAATTTCCACCTTTTTCCACTCAGAATTTACTGAAATTGCTAAGGATCCTTTTACAAAGTGTCATTTTCATGTTAACATGAGAACTGTTGAATGAATACTAGCACAAGTTAGGACTTTGTACAGAAGAATGTATTTCCTTAGGTATGAATTTGTAAGATTCCATTTGCAATGGCCTGTACAGATACTATATACCTGTAACATCTTAAGTTATAAATATATATATGTATATATAGTATTATAGTTGTATACTGAACCCATATCAGTAGAGCAGACCTCTCTAGATCTTTACACCAGTACTGTATTTCTTACAACTCTGTTGCTATTTCAGTCTCAGCTACTGCAGGTGATTGAACC